AAGCGCTGTGCCAGGGGGGTGGGGTGGGGGGGGTGGGGAGGGGTGGACACTGTGGGGGGCAGGCTCCGGCCTGAGCTGAGCAGACAGGGGAGGAGCATTTGATGAGGAGCAGCAAAGCACCCCCGCCCAAAAACACACACACCCAGAGGCTGTCCCAGGCCACGCCGCCCCTGCTCAAACTTCCCACTGCAGCGACGGAAGCAGTTCTAGCTTCTTCCACCAGCCCCGCAGATGCAGCCCTCCCCTCCCCCTTCCCCCACCTCCCACTCCCCCTTCCCCCCAGCCCACCCTGGACTCTCCCTGTGGCCCACCCGTGCCCTCTGCCTGAGCCCTCCTCCCCCAGCTTCCTGGAGACCGTTCTTTCTCATCGTTGCTCAAGGCTCTGTTCAGGTGCCACCTCCTCAGGGGAGCCTTCCTTCCCAGCTGCACACAGGGCCCGCCCGCTCCCACCCCCTCTCCCTCTTGTCCAGCTGCATTTCCTCCCACTTCACGGCTTGCAGTGAGGTAGAGCCCCGGGTTGCCTCCCTGCACAGTTGGGCAGGTGGGAGAGACACAGAGGCCAGTCATCTCAGGGGGTGGCTAGAGGGAACCCCAGCCTGGCTCGGGGTGGAAGATTTTATTTCATGGACTCGTGGGAGCCGTGGGAGGTTGTAAGAGCAAGGGAGTGACGTGTCCTCCCCTAGAAAAGGCCCCGGGCGTCCCTGCCCTAGCCCAGATGGTGACAGCGATGGTGGTGTGAGCAGCCACCCGCTCTCCTGAGCGCTCAAGGCGTGGAGCGGGGCCTCGTGGAGCCTCTCCTGCAGGATCCGGGGTACCCTCACCACAGCGCGGGGGGCGTACCATTAACGCTCCATTTTGCAGATGACGACACTGAGGCACCAGGTCCCTGGAGTGAACCGTGCTCCCCACCCCTAGCCCTGTGCAGGCCCTCCCTGGGTAGGAGGGACAGGGGGACTCAGGCCCCCCAGACCCCTGGGGCCCACACCCCACCCTCGGCAAGATGCCTCCAGGCCCCTTCCTGCAGCTGCCGTGGGGATTTTTAATAACGGGAGTGATTTTTGCATGATGAATGAGGGGCTGCCATTGTGTACATAATGAAGCCCTAATGTTTTCAAATCCCCGCTTAAGGAGTTGATCTCACCCCGTAATGAATTTCACGTCACATTGTGGAGCTGCTGTCCATCTATCTTCTCCCTGGGGTGCCCACCCACCTTGGCACCGCGAGGGTGGGGTCTGGCAAAGGTGGGCTCTGTCCCACCAATAGGCCAAGGCTCACAAGAGCTGGGGCTAGCACGGGCTTGCTGATCCAGCGAGTGCGGAGGCCGGAGATGGTTCTGGCAATGGGCATCCCATGGGGTTGTGGCTCCCGAGGCTCAGCCAAGGCCTGGGAGGAGGCCGGGGACCCGAGATGGAGAGCGTAGGGTGGGCAGAGGGAGGAGGGGACACTAGGCCCCCGGGGTGGGTCATTTCTCTAGGCTTTATGGCTGGGCTTGTCGTCCTCAGGGTCTGGGGCTTGGAAGGCATCCCAGCAGCTTAGGCATCTGCCCCTGACCCCACTGGTACCCTCTCAGGGACTCAGTTTCCCCAGCCACCCAGGGGGGCCTGGCCCCTCTCAGCCCTGGCATTTGGGATCTCTGTGCAGGTGGCTGGGGCCCGGGCAGCAGCTGCAGGCTGCACCTAGGCGGCTGGAGTGGGGGGCCTGTCCTCAGGTTGGGCTCCCAGCCCTGGGACCTGCGGGGGCGGGGGGGGATGTCTGGGTGGGGAGTGGTCTGTCCGTAGGGCCCAGACCAAGGTGCCTTCCTGTGCTCAAGAGGGGCGCCCCTCCCCCAGCCCCCTTGGGCCTCAAGCTCGCCCCCGCCGCCCCAGCCCTCTCTGCCCAGGGCTTTCTCAGTGACCCCTGTCACTCGGGCGAAGGAGGCCCCCAAGAGCCTGACGGGCAGAGCAGCCTTCTGCCTACAGGGTCGGTGACTGGGCCTTGGTCTCATCATGGAAAACGGGTGACACGGGGGACTGTGTGATAAAGTGCAGGGCCCCTTGGTGCAGTCTCTCACTGAATGCTCACGCTAAATGGGGCAGAGGTGCTGTTACCCTGTAGAGGGGGGAAACAGAGGCACAGGGAGAGGAAGTGACTTCCCCAAAGCCACCAGCAGGCTTGTAGGCGGGATTTCTGGGGAAAGAAATCCCAGAAGGGGACACACAGCGGGCCAGACCCACAGGGCAGCGGAGAGGAACGGCGGAGGGGGGGCCAGCCCAGGGCCCATCAGGGTCTCTTGCCCCCTGGCAGGGACACAGCTGCCCCCCTCTCCCCCAGGCCACAGGCATCCTCATGTTCCTGTAAATAATTAATTAGCCCCTGCTTGCTTGTTTGTTTAGCATGAGGAATGCTCCCCCACTGAGACGCATTTATTGCTGAATAAATTTAAATATCTAATCTTCCCTTCATGAATATTACAGCACCCTAATAGCGGCCAACATCTCCTAAGCGCCTTGGCAAATGGCCCCCACAGGAGCCTGCCTGCTGTCGGCCTCTGCGGGCTCTGGGGGCTCTGGGAGGCCCTGGCTCCAGCCCCCTGCTGCTCCCGGGGGCCTCCCGACCCCCCCCAAAACCTCCTAGGAAGGGGCGGGGTGTGAGCTGAGGCCCCCCCAGGCCCCTTGCAGGTGTGGAGGCCACACCAGGGCCGGGGCGGGGGGGACACAGGAGGGCTGCAGGGCTGCCGTGGCTGAGCTCATTTAGGGGAAGAGCCTGGGAGCAGGGGCGAAGCTGGTGGGGGACCCACAGGGCCCCCAGGCAGGAGCAGCATCTGACGAGCTCAGGCCAGGACAGAAGAGGTCCGGGAGGCAGGCGGACCGTCTCCAAGGCAGCCTTGCTGGACAGCGGTGCCTAGTGGTTGGCAGCATGGGGACGGCTGAACAGTCACATGGGATGAGGGACCCCAGACCATGGGGCAACCAGAGTCCCCAAAGTCCCTCTGTCGGGAGGGCGATGTGTTGACATGGAGAGGGGGACAGGAGCCCTGCTGCAGGGAAGAGGGGTGTGCAGACAACAGGCCGAGTTTGCACAAGGAGGCAGGGGGAGCCAGCCAGCCAGGATGGGAGGGAGGTTGGGGGGGCCCGGAGAGAAAGCCTTCTATGGTCCTACAGGAAGTAGAACAGTCCAGCTGTGTGACCCTGGGCAAGTCTTTCATCTTCTCTGTGCCTCAGTGTCGTCTACTATAAAGCAGGGAAAATAGTAGCACCTCCTAGGGTGGCTGGGAGGACCAACAAGGAGATGCGACCTGCTCAGCGCCTGGCAGGTGCCCCAGAAGTCTGTGCGGGCTGGGACTCAGGAGCCAGAGCCTGGAGCCTGAAGGGGGAGCAGGCCGGGGCTGAGGGAGGAGGCAGAGCGGCCCTTAGGGCAGGCTAGTGGGGAAGGGTGCGTTCTGGACCCGGCAGAGAGTCATCTGAGGAAGGCGCCACCCCTGACACGTGGGTCGGGGTCCGTCTCCATGGGAGGGACCCCAGGTTTTCTGCTGACTTGGGATGGAACAGGGGTTGAGTTGGAGGCTTGAGGTTTGTTCGGATGTGGCTAAAGGTCCCGGGGAAGGGATCAAGGGTGAACTGGTATGAATTGGGGTCACCACCCTCCTACCGGGCAGCCCCCAGGTCAGGTGGAAAGGGGGGAGGAGGGACATCTCCCTTGGGTGAGACCCCAGGAAGCCACGTCCTGCGGGCTCTAGGGTTCAGCTTCCCCCCACAGGAGAGGCAGGACAGGGCCGAGGAAGCAGAGCCTGGGAAGCTGCAGTTCACACGGGGAGACAGGCCAGCGGCGACCCTCTGGGCGTGTGGCTAAGGACAGCAGGCTGTGGGTCCCCTCTGGCCCTCGGAGACGGTAGAGCGACCAGGCTGGTGTGGACAGGGAGGGGGCCAGGCAGGAGGGACGAGTCTGTGCTCCGGCTTGTTGGGGAGAGGGTGGGGAAGGGGTGGGGCCCAGGGCCTGTCCCTCATCTCTGCCTGGGGCTGGGCACAGATCCCCTAGGCACTTGCAGGGCAGTCACCCTGGCCTGGATGATGCGGAGGGGGGTGGGGGGTGGGGTGGGCGCAAGGCTTCTGCAAGCTCGGATTCCCTCCTCCCCCTCATGCCCCCAGGTCAGTCCCAAGGGCCTGGCTGCCGGCCTGGACACCTCTGCAGGAAACATTAAGTCCCTGAAACACAGATATCACTGAGCTCCACTTCCGCACAGCGTGCACAGCAGGCCAAGGTCGCCTGCGGAGTGCATGGCACCAGGAGATGGCAGGCAGCCGGGTGCCCAGAGGCTGACGCCATCGGGGCAGGGCCGGGAGGCCCCGGGGAGCACCGGCTCAGACCCGTTCCTGTGCATACCCCCGTATGCCCCGGACGCTCCGGCACCCGCCCGGACACCCACCTCCCCTCACACTCTCAGGTATACACACATGGAGCACATTCTTCTGCTGTCACACTGTCCTAAGAGCCAACACGCACGTCACCTTCACCCATGCCAGGCACTGGCTTAAGCACCTTACAGAAATGAACTCACTGAATCCTTCCAAAAGCCCTGTGAGATGGAGGTCTACTATTACCCCAGTTTACAGATGGGGCAGTTGAGGCCCAGAGAGGTTAAGTGATATGCTCTAGGCCACACATCTGTGACTGGCAGAGCCGGGACTAGAACCCAGGCTGCCCAGCTCCCCAGCCCCCGCTGTTGCAGGAGGCGCAGGGTGGTCACCCGGCACCTCACCCAGAACGGACCCACTGCTCGGGGACACTGTGTAGTGCAGGCTGCACGCCCACTGAGTGCCACCTGGACCCGTAGCTCAGGGGCCCTGCCTTGGGTGCCACTCTCCACCCCCTCCCATGGCCCCCCCACCCTTACCCCTCCCTGCACAGGAGAGGAGGGGGCGGGACCCAACCCCAGAGGCCCTGCCAGGGTTCCCCCAACTCCTCTACCCCATCCGTCCCACCCCCGGGATGCTCTGGGAAATCGCCTGGTGCCCGCTCCAAGTGAAGTCACGAAATTAGGTTTAATTGGGCCCCACAGGGCACAAAAGAAAAGAGAAGAAAGAGGGGGGTGGTCCAGCTGGTGTCCCTGGACCTGTGCCAAGACACTGGGGGTGGGGCTGTGATGGAGGAGGAAGGGCCTCTGTTTGCGCGTCTGCAGAATGGAGAAATGGGGGTTCTTTCCTGCCGCTGGTGCCGAAGGAGCTCCTGGCACGAACCCCGGGGTGCCATCGGAGCTAGGGAGCGGCCAGCGGTGGGTCACGTTCTCCTGGCCACGGTGCCAACCCCTCCCCTGAGGAGGGGTCACTGTGGCTGTTTTCCAGATGAGGCCGTGGACTCTTGGGGAACGGGGTGTCCCCACTGGCACAGCGGACGAGAGCCCAGCCCCGCCTTTCCCGCCGGGGCCGCTCGGGCTGTGGCGCCTGGGTGAGATCGGGCTGGAGGAGCGTCTCGGGCGCGTTTATCTGGGCCCGCGTCCCCAGGGTCGCTGCCGAGGCCCCGGAGCCGCCCTCAGAGAAACAAGCCCAGGCCCGCCCCAATTAAGCCGGATGCGCTAACGAGGCAGCGCGCTAACGAGCAGGGGCGCGCGCCCGGATCCACCTGCGCGGCCCGGATCCGCGGCCCCGTCCACCTCCCCGCGTGGCGCACGAAGGGGCTGGAAGACCCAGGCTCCGGGGCCAGAGCGCACCTGCCACTTGTAATGGGGTGACCCCAGTTTCTTCATCTGTGAAGTGGGTCCTAGAGTTTGCCGCGGCCGCGAGCAGCCTCGCCTTGGGATGGGATGCGCGGTGCCTGTCGGCGCCCCCGGGCTCCTCGGGCGGAGGCGGCCAGTGGTCGCGGCCCCCGCGGTGCTTCCGGGCCAGAGCCGGGAGGGCGACCTTCCCCTGGACCAGGCTAGGGTGGCGGTTCCTGCCGCCGCGGACCCCGCCTAACGGAGCCACCCTGGCAGCGGGAGGCCCCCGCCCGGCGGGGAACGAGCAGGGCGGGCCGGGCGCGCCCCCTGCCGGCCGCCCCGCGCCTGCGGCCTGCCCGGGCGCCTGGGCCTGTCCAGTGGGGGCGGCGGGCATTGCGAGCGGCTGGAGGCCGCGGGAGGAGGCGCGGCGCCGGGTGAGCCCTGGCACAGCCGAGGGGGCTGCGAGTAGTCTGTGCTCGGGCCTCCGCCTTCTCCTCTGTAAAACGGGCTCAGGCGTGAGGCGGGGAGCCCCACGGCTCACCCCACGGCTCACTGCCTCCTGCCCTGCAGTGGACGGCTGCATCCACCGCGCTGCCGGACCCCTGCTCACCGACGAGTGCCGGACCCTGCAGAGCTGCGACACCGGAAAGGCCAAGATCACCGGCGGCTACCGGCTGCCGGCCAAGTGTGAGTCCCGACCCGCCGCCCCCACTCCTGTGGGGCGCAGACAGGGCACCTTATGTAATTACGGGGCTAGGGGAGCAGCCCCCACAGAATAGCTGGAGGCCTCCTCAGGGGTCCCTTCTTCACCTTTAGTGCCGGGAGCCGGCCCCTCCTCGCACGCGCCGGGACGCGGGTGGCGGGAGGGGAATGCGTGGAGCCGGGGAGGGGAAGAGCTGAGGGGACAGTGTCTTGGCTCACCCCCTCCGCCCCACGTCTCGGCCGGGTCCATACAGATGTGGGGAGGCGGCCCAGCGCGGACCTGCCTGTCTCTATGGAGGAGCGCATTTGAGCTCGAGGGCACACATGGGTGGGGCACTCTTAGAACTTGGGGAGAGGGCCTGTTTCCTGTCCCCTCCAGGGCCCAGGCCGGCAGGGGGAGAAAGCCTCTGACCTCTTGGGGACCCCAGCTGGTCTGACGCCGTCGCCTCCCGTAGATGTCATCCACACGGTGGGACCCATCGCCCACGGAGAGCCCAGCGCCAGCCAGGCGGCCGAGCTCCGCAGCTGCTACCTGAGCAGCCTCGACCTGCTGCTAGAGCATCGGCTCCGGTCCGCGGTGAGGGGGGGCCGGGCGCCAGGCGGGGGTGGGGGCGGCCTGGAACCGGGGGAGGAAGGCGCCCCCGGAGGCGGCGGGCGGGAGGCGGGCGGAGAGTGACCCTGTCCCCAATTCCCTCTCACCTCCCGCGCCCGCCACAGGCATTCCCCTGCATCTCCACCGGCGTGTTTGGTGAGTTGGGGCCGGGGGGGCGGGGCGCGGAGGAGGGGGCGTCTAGAAGGGGGCGGGGCCGGGC